ATACATGGTTTTCCCTCTTTTTAGAAGCAAGTAACGTAAGGCCTACTCATATAAATTCGATAAAAATTCAACGATCAGTCGTTCAGCACCTCATACGAAATATAGCGTATACATCTTATATAAATTTATTAAATTGTGTCTGTATGTGCAAAGGAGATTAAGGATATTATGCCGTTTTAAAAGCTTTACTTAGAAGGTAACCTTTTGTGTATATGCCTATGTATAAAGACAGAATACATTAGTTGTTCAGTGATTAGGCTCACTAACTTACTAATCACGACAATGACTGTGCGCGACTTTTGAAGTGGCTTTATAACAGCTTTATTAAAAGATTAGAATAATTTATTAAATAAGCACAAATTAATAAATATAATAAGTACTCATACCTAAATAAGTGCGTTCACTTAAATCTTATATTTAATAAGTTAGTTTATGTTTACTTATCCTTTTCTGGGCTTTATGACTTTAGTGACAAGCTCCTTTAGTCACATTCCATGTGGCTCCCTTTGCGCTTCTGCCGTGCCTACTTATGTGAAACCAGATTGTCTTGGGTATTGCATATTTAAAAATTAAGGCTTTAGCCTGTGCTTAGTCAAAAATTACGTTTTGATATTGAAAATGAGTGGGCTCCCATTATAAGAAAACAAGATTTGGAAGTATCTAGGGTAACCTACATATTTTTGCATTTTTCATCAGGATACTTGCCATGATCGCAAAAAGTTTTTTATTTTATCAATGTTTCCTTATCCTTCTGGAAATTTGCATATGGGGCATCTACGTGTTTACACAGTGGCGGATGTCTTGGCTAGGTTTTATCGTCTTTTGGGTTATTCAGTCATTCAACCGATGGGCTGGGATTCCTTCGGCCTTCCAGCCGAAAATGCAGCTATAGATAAAGGTGCGCTTCCAAAGGAATGGACTTACAAGTATATTACCTTTAAATTCGACCTGCAAGTAATATACTCTCAATGAGATCTCAATTCGATTCCGACATGCTTTTGAGTATAAACTGGGATAAAGAATTATCTACCTGTGACCCAAATTACTATAAGTGGACCCAATATATATTTACACAACTTTTTCATCGAGGACTCGCGTATCAGAGATTTGCCAAGGTTAACTGGGACCCTGTGGATGAAACTGTATTAGCTGACGAACTAGTTGATAATGATGGGCGATCCTGGCGTTCTGGAGCTGTCGTTGAACGAAAATCACTTCGTCAATGGTATTTTCGGACGTCTTTATATTCACAGGTAACTCTTCTTATCCCAAATACACTTTACTATTCATGGTATATCATTACTTTTGTGTCATTTATATGTTCCACACAGGATATGGATGTGTTTGTATTCATCATCTCTTTGTAACGATTTAAATTGTATATTTTCTTAAATTACCTTTGAATCCTGTTTCTAAATTCAAAATAATTCGAATCTATTGTCAAGAAACATATCTTATATGTCTGCAAACTCTTTGCTTATATTCATACATTCTTACCTTTATATTTTTCCATAGTCATTACTGGATAGCTTATCGACTATTCAGGGCATGCAGTGGCGTGATGTTATTAACCTTCAAAAAGGCTGGCTTGGTTCCCTCACTCATACGCTTGTAGAGTTTGACCTCATTCCCGCATCATTACCTGTAAAGAAGGCTTCCACACAAATTACCCCATCAGATAGCGCTGAACAAAGTTTACAGGGGCAACGTATCAGCGTTTTTCACCTCCACCCTAGTCTTATAGTCGCAGATGCATTCGACTTCCTTTCCGTTGGGCCTGATAGCCCCTACTGGTCCGAAAAATTCAGGCGAGTGAGTTCCCTTTATTATACTATTTTTATACTATAAACTGGATAGTTTAGACTAATCGGAGCAATTACTTTCCTTTTAGCGTATTGATTGTAAAAAACCTAATTGGTTCTCAATTCCTCTTCATTACTTTTATCACTAAACGACTTGCTTAATTTCACTTCCGAATTATTACCTGGGCTTATATTTAGGCTTTTCTTTGACCTATGAAGTGAAGCTGGGCTTAAAGGATCCCTTAATAGGTTGATACTGGCATACCTTTTATTTCATTTTAAAAGGCGAGTGAAGAGAATTTGAAAATTGGCCTTACTGTATACCTAATAAGGGTTTCCTTGGATTTGCGACTGCTGGATTGTGGGAAGAAGACTTCGGCTCATCGTCCTGCGACCTCAATGATTCCGTTCTGAGCTTTCGTTCGTCATGTGATGGCCATCGTATGAGCCAGAAACTATTCTTTACGAACAATCACCAAAAAATAAGCCAAGAAAGGTGGTACAATGAGATCCTAAATATTTCTTAGACCTCGCTTTGCGATCTTAATGGGCACTCGATGATTTGGTTAGCTGCTTTATGCATGTATGAGAGTGAAGTGGATGCAGGAATGGGAATGAATGTGGTCACAACTTTTCTGTATTTAAATAA